TAACTATATATTTTAATAAATTAATTTGTCATCTTAAATTCTTGATCTTAATAATTAAATTTGGAGTTAATGTTCAAAACTTCAAATTTTACCGTTGGTGCCGAATTACGTATGTACCATGGGCTAAAACTTCAGTCTAATTAACTAAAAATAGAAACTTCTAAAAAAAGGGGAAGAAGATATTTATGAAATGGCCAACCTTAAGTCAAAGAATAAGATCAATCAAGATAAAGAAACAATGGAATTAATATCTAGGCAAATGGTAGTAGAAGAAATGGAAGAGCAAATTTTAGAAACGTTAAAAGCAACACATGATTGATTGAATGAGTATTGAATTAGTTGTTTAAATTAGTACAAAAGATCGTTATAGCTCAAAAAAAAATTGTTATCGTTATAAGAGATTGTTATCGTTACAATAAATCATTATAGTACAAGAGATCGTTATAGCTAAAAGAAATAATTAAGACATTAGCGTTTATCATTAGAAGCCACGAATAATTGACAAAATTTTAAAAAGCGAAATCGTTTAACGGGGGATCGATAAGACACTAGAACAAAAGAAGTATTTAGGAGTTTCCTACTATGGGATAACTCATTGTCTTAGAGTCAGTTGTCAGAATCAACAATATCTAAAGACTAGAATTAATAGATAATCGTCAGAATGGATTTAGGTGATTTAAGGGAAAGGGTGGCAAAGGCCTGTATTAAAAGAAAAGAAAGGTTATTTATAATTAAAAAAACAATAAAAATTGTAAGGGTAATTTAAATGTTTAAATTGTAATTATATTAAATGATAAAATATGAAATTATTATTGATAGTATGTAAATTTTAGTGTTAGTACAAATAGTTAGATCGAAAATGCAATAATGAAGAAAAGAAAAAACTTTATATTTTTTGATTTTATATTTTATATTTTTAGTTTTTACTTTATAGTTTTATTAATTTAATTTATTATCTACAATTCCTGATCTTAATAATTAGCAATTAAATATGAAATGAGAATAAATTTCTCTCTCATTCAGAAATTAGAATTTTATAACTAATAATTTTCCCTTTATATTGGCTACTGGGGCGAAGCCCGCAAAATAAATTTCGTAACCCCCCATTCTCGGATAAATTCTGAACTATAGAGATAGGGAATTTAAACTAAAAACAAAATAAGAAATTTTTACCAGTAAATTTTTTGTTCAGGTAGGGATTTTAATATAAAAAATAGATTTTTTAAAAACAAATATAATTAATTAAAATATTTATATAACCTAACCTTTGAGGTTTCATAATTAATTTGGCATTTGATTTTAAAGTTAATAGTATTTTTAATTGTGTTCCATCTAAAATATTGCTAGCCTCTTTGATGTCTTCGTTTCTCATATAATACAAAATTTCTCCTAATTGAGGCATTTGATCAGGAATTATCTATCATAAAATAAAATTACATTTTATTGAATATTTGTGAGCTTTGTAAGAAATAAAATCAGAAACATAAAAAAACATTTTTTAAATTTGGCGTGAAACGAGCTTTAAATAAAAAACAAACCCAATTTGGGCCTGTAAACATATTTTTCTACGAACCCCGGATTGGGGAATTTTTTAATAAAAAATTCAAAATATTCATTTTGGAAATCCTATAATGAATCTTTATATATATTGTTCATATTTTCAATTTGCCTTTGAAGCACTTTACAAAAGAGAAGCCAAAATTATTCAAAATAACGAAATTCTAAAAAAATCCGGTGGGGCGTAAAATATTCAAAAATTTGAGTCATCCTCAATAAAATAGATAATAATATTTTAACTTCTATTTAATAAATAAATATATTGTAACATAAATAAATAATATAATTAAAACATTTATATATTATTTTACTCGATCCACTTACATTTTCAAATTTCAGAATTCACTAAAATCATTCGAAATTTCCTCTAACTCTCAATCCAAGAAGATCCTTAATCTCCGCTTTAATCATAACTCATAGTTACAAGTATCATATCTATGCAAACTTGGGACATCGGTATATGATCACCCCTATTCTTTCTATCAGCAGGTTCATCGCTTCTGGTCTCTTAGTCAAAACTGACCCTTTGTTAGTTGAAACCACCATATGCGATAATTTTGTAGTCCCACAATGACTTTCCTGGTTTTACGTAAAAACTTCAGTAGAAAAACGATATGTACTATGTGTTAATTCTGTTGAAACACTCTTATTGAGCCAGACTCAATTCACCAAATATCCTGAGAAACTGGTACTTCACAAACTTCAGTGCATCAGATTCCCAAAGAACTTCAGCAAAAATGTTTAAAAAAAACAAGCCCAGGACTAATTGATGTGAGTAAGATTGCCTGTCTGGTACGTACCAAACAACTTCCACGAAAATACTATCAGAGGTTAGTTCATTACAAAGGTTGACAAGTGTTCATAACTTGATCGGTAAATCTTTACAATGATAGGGTGTATGTTGCAGTTTAATGAGAAAACAAGTTGCCGCCTATAGGTTGATAGTACAAAATTTGTAAATTAATTTTAAATGTTTGTCAAATTGTAAAGTTTAATAAAAAAAAAAAATTTTATCGAATTGTCCAACTTTGAATGTGCATAACTTTGGACCGTGTTAAATAGAATTTGATGAAATTTACAGAAAATATTGATAACTTATTTTAAAATTTATTGAATTATTTTTAGTTGACAGATTTATTGCCAAAACAAAAAGGGTATCAATTCAATTGGTATACAGTATATACAATATTAAGTATTTTCGAGTAATATGTTCGATTTTTCAAAGTTAAAAAATAGAGCTGTTCAGATTGGGCCAATATTTAGTGTTTTTAAAAATGTAGGATCGGACCGATATTTTTAATAAAACCGATTCGATCTGATAACCAAACATCCTGAAGCTTGCTAATTTATCATCAGGTGATGACCTAAGACCAGGTGGTTAAACTTCTTGTACTATGGTTTTTAGGTAAATTCCTAATTTGGGACTTCATGTGGGTCTCTTCAATTCCAAAAAATGTAATTTCTAATACAGTTGATATAGCCGAGAAAGAAAAAAAAATATATTAAATTAACAAATTATGTATTTATACCAATTGTTATTTCTTCTCTTGGACATATGTCAAGAGGAACTTTTTAAAATTATATGCGGTAAAATAAGAGCCCTTACATCAGAACCCAATGAATTTTATATTTTAAAACTAAAAATCCAAATTTTTAAAATATAATTATTTGTGTTTTGGGGGAACTTGTAGTCCCAATTTCATTTTCTATAGTATAAGCATTAATATTTTTATTATAATAAAGTTTTGATTGGAATTATATAAATAAAAAAATTAATTTAATTTTAAAAAAGTTAAGCTTTTATGAAATTATGGGAAGTTAACATGTAACTAATAGGCCTAAAACGAATTATTTGTTATTTGATATTCGATTCGATACGATTCGTATATTACGAATACGAATAAAACAATTATTCGATTCGAAATTTCGAATCGAATATGAATAATGAGGAAGATTATTCGTATTATTCGAAATTATTTATATAAAAATATTCGTAATTATTCGCAAATATTTTATTGCAAGTAAAATAAATCTCGATTTTATAAACTCTATCAGTGCGATTGAGAAAATAGAAACTTATTATAACTTAACAAATATTCACACTATAATATCAACAATACTGGATCCTAGACTAAAAATGGAATTTTTTGAGCAACTACCAACTACATATAACATAGATACGACAAATCTATTAGAAAAATTTAAAGATGTATATAATGATTACAAAATAAAATATAATATCAAATCAACATCAGTTAACCCAATAGTACAGTCGAACATGGATAGAATTTTTAAACAAAATAACATCGCATCAGTATGTGAGGTGGAGACATATCTTAACGAAATAAGAATCAGTTCAAATAAGAGTCCCTTAGAATGGTGGAGATTGCATGGGGATCGTTTCCTGTGTTGTTGAAAATGGCAACTGATATATTGTCAATTCAGGGATCTTCGGCTTCATGTGAGCGGTTGTTCTCAATAGGAACAAATATGATAATGAAAAATAGAATGTCTTTGAAGGAGGAAACTATTAGAAAGACTTTATGCTTAAAAAATTGGATATTATCAAATTCGGATTTACTATAATTTTATATTTTTGTGTATTATTTTCTATTTTTATAAAATGAGATTATTGTACATTTTTAAAAAATTTTAATAAAATTTGAATATTAGATTGAAGAAATAGTTTAAATATTTTTTTATAAGCAATTCTAATTCTAAAAATTAGATATTTTGGTCAATTTGTTTGGTTAACGTTATATGAAATCATTGTGTTTTATTTCATTTATTTTCTATAAATTTTTATATTGTAATGACAATTAGTTTAGATAATCCTTAAAAGTGTCATCTTTAAACATCTGTAAAAAATTTTTTGTAAAATATTTTATAAGCTTTAGAAAAATTTTTGAATCGAATCTAATATTTGACGAATCAAAACGAATAATGATTTTATTATTCGTACGAATACGAATAGCGCAATTATACGAATAATAGTATTATTTGATTCGATTTGTTTTTTTTGTAGGCCTAGTAACTAACAAATCAAATTTATATTGTTAGAATGTATTGTGAAGAAACATAGTGATGTTAATAAATACTATATATTAAATTTTATTCATTTAGAATAAATATGAATTTAGTGGACATGATATTTTAAACATAAACACCAACAGAATTTACTTACAAGATATTTAACATTAAAATCAGCCCTTGCCCTATAAAGCAATTAAATATATGTGTAGGCTTTCTGTCTTGACAGTACTGAATAAGGCCAAACAAAGGGTCGTATTCCATAGTGAACTGATAATTTGGTAAAATTTAAAAAAAGAAAAATTGATCTTAATTAGATCAATGTATAATGATCTATGCTTATTAAAAACAAACGATATAACTCATTTTGCAAAATTTTCATGCTTCTTAAACAAAACAGTTATAAATAGTACCTCATGATTATTAACCAATTCATCAGCCAATGCCTTCCACTTATTTGATAAGGATAATCTTCCAACATTTTGGATATTTTTAAAGTTAGTTGAATATTGAGATATAAAAACATTATATTCATTTATCAGCTGATTTTGGATATTTATAAGCCCTTTTGTTATAGTAATCCCAGATTTTGGGTAAATCATTTGTTCTAACTGCAACAGATGTATAGTTATGATACTTTCCAGCAAGCTTACTGAATTGTTAAGTGATGTAACAGGATTTATTACAAATTGATTATAGTAATAATCAATACGGTTTTTTTTTTGTATAAGGGAATCAGATGCTTCATTAAATTTAAAATCTTGATGTAAAAATTGTAATATTTTATTATTCCTTTTTGTAAGATTTTCAGTTAGTTGTATATTTGAATTCATATGATTTAAATTAAACTTTTTGAGATCAGATTTGAAATATTTCAAAAATATTTCTTTTCGTCTATATATATTATTGATTTGATTATTTGAAAATAAATGCATTGCAATCCACAAATTTAGAACAAAAACAGTTAGAAATAAAAGAATCAATATATAAAAATATCTTTTATTCATATACAATTTGTAAATTGGAATATGCATAAACATTTTAAAAGAATGGGGAAATAAGGTTTACAATTAAGTGTTAAAATAATGCATAAATATTTTAATTTTTATAAGTATATAATTCTTATCTTTTCTTATCTAGCACGTTAGTCATAGACCTGCCAAAAATGAGCGAACGTGATTTATATGAAGGTCTACCTTTCATATAATTATACCGATTTTTTTTAATCAAGGATACCAACAAGTTCAACTATGCTACTGAAGTTTTGGCAAAACTCATTTAACAGCTGTTCTTTAAAATGTAGAAATTATTTTGCGATTTATGGTCAAAATGTCTAAGGCTGCATTCAAAGTGGAGAGGGATCCGATTTCACGTCCAAACATTTGATTTGAAGGCGTTCGACAAGGCTTTTATAGTGATTTTTTTTAACGTTTCGACTTAAAACAGATTTGACATTATTTTATTTTTAAAAATGAACCAATCTTCTTGGGAGGGCCTCCTTTGATCGTAAAATTTTGATCGTAAAATGGTCCATTGGTCCATTAAAATGGTCCATTTAGTCCATTTTCGGTCAAAATGGACGATTTTTAGTATTTAATATATTAAATAATTCCAAGCAATTTTTTATCAAATCCAAGCAAGAAATTTTTATTATCATCTATCCGATTATATACAATCTTATACATTTTTTTTTATTTAATATATTAGATAATTGAATTCCAAGCAATTTTTTATCAAATCCAAGCAAGAAATTATCATTATCATCTATCAGATTATATGCAATTCTTATATCATATGCAGGAAATTTTTATTATTATCTATAAGATTATATTCAATCCTTATATCAGATGCAGCATCTACATGACAGGATTTTTACAGGATGCAAACCCCCTTCAAAAACCTTTGTCTACCCTTTAAAAAATTCCCTTTTATCATCATTTTCACCTATTTATTTATTGATACTCTTTTCAAAGAATTTATAAAGGATAACTTAAATTAATCTATCTCTACTACCAACTATCGATATTTTGTGAATATAAAGAATTTATTTTTTAGATAATAAATTCAATTAAAACCTCCATTATTTACAATGAATTAATTATTATGCCATTATGAGCTTGCTGAAATATCGAAACCTTTTAAATTACATTTAAAATATAGTTTATTTGGAAAACTATGTGTATGATTGTTTGCAATAAATAGATTTGGTCGATGAATTGTATTATAATAATATTATAATAAAAGTAATAATTTATACAGCAATAAATTTTGTCCTATTTCATCTCTAAATTTAATAGATAACCCCCAAAAAAAGTTATCCTACCCCCATTAAAGAAGCTTACCCCATACCCCTTCAAAAATATAGGATGCAAACTGTCCCTACCCCTCCCGCTCATGTAGACGCTAGATACAAGAACTTTTTATTATCATCTATTAGATTATATGCCATTCTTATATTAGATGCAAGAAATTTTTCTTATCATCTATCAGATTATATGCAATTCTTATGTCAGATGCAATCAATTTTAATATATCAGACATTGTTTTAATTATATTATGATATTTTATATTGTGAGTATTTTATGTAGCAATGTAATATATATTTTAAATCTATACCTATTAATAAAATTTAATTAGCAAATTTAATTAACAATTTCTTAATATAACTGAACTTTATTAATATGATTACTTAGGATTAGTTTTAATGATTAAGAATATTTCTTATGCATTTTCTCAATATAACTTATGATTACTTAAGATTAATTTTAATGATTAAGAATATTTCTTATGCATTTTCTCAATATAACTTATGATTACTTAAGATTAATTTTAATGATTAAGAATATTTCTTATGCATTTTCTCAATATAACTTATGATTACTTAAAATTAATTTTAATGATTAAGAATATTTCTTATGCATTTTCTTAATATAACCTATGCTATATAAAATGATTCACTAATTTCTTAATAAAACTTATAAATAAAATTAATTGATAATTGAGTCATAGGATTTTATTTATAAATTTGTCTATAATTTTTAAATTATATTGATTAATAAGATTATTTATATTCTTTTCTTTTGTTATATATTTATTATTGGTTTTCTTTAAGCTCATCCCCATGTCTAAAAGCATATATATTTGGATCTACTGGGTATGTTGGAATTCTGATCTGCACAAGATATGCATTGAGAATCTTTACCTAAATTAATGTAAGTAATCTAGATAGGTTTAGTATTAAATATACCTTCAGCTGTTAGATAATCTTGTGTCACTTCAAATAAACCACCTACTAACTTACCTCTGCTTTTACAATCTCTTCTTCTGCAGCGGTAATATACTGTAGGCTCAGCTATTCTATGTATGGTATATTGAAAAAGGTTATAGCAGAGTATATCCTTACCTTTATTAGATTTGATATATTTTATTGAGTTGTCTAAAAAAAATTTTTTTTTAAATTAAATTTAATATAATATATCACACTTTGCAATGATTCATTTCTTCTTTTAAAAAATAGTCTTATATTATCAGCTACAGTGTTAAGCATAATGTTTTTAAATGATTTTAATTTAATGCGATGAAATAGACCAATCAGAAAAAAATTGACCAAATTTACGATCAAATGACTTTACGATCATAGTTAGGCAAATCATATTCTTTAGTTAAATTATAATATTCTGAGCAATTTAATAAAAACTAGATTAAAAATTTTCATGAATAAATTCTAATTTCAATTGATATGAACACATTCTCAATTATTGATAGTAATTATCAAGGCTTGTATTAAAGATGTTAAACTTAAAATTAACCACCACCCCACCCTTAAAGTAATTAAATTATTTTTGCAGTTCTTGGGTATAGGCTTTTGTTTTGCCCATTTCTTTTTGTTTATTAGCCTATAGACTTTTAAGCAACAGTTCTAGGACTGTTGCGCGTACAAGTGCGTGCGGTTTGCCCACAAACGTGTGAAGGGCTACTCATTTTTTCTCCCCTTAATTAACTATCCAGTTTGATGGATTTTTGAGGAAGACCTAGCTTAGCTCTGTTGTATCCACAACCAGAGGGCGACAACGCTTTTATCACGTATCACGTAATAAAAACTAAAAAATATTTTAGCATATCTTTAAAAAATTCATGATTGACGTCAATTTTTATGTATAACCAGTATTATCCATTAATTCATTATGAAAAGTAAATTTTTATATTTTATTAAATAATATATTATTTTACTTTTATAGATTCAATATCAATCATTAATAGACTTACAGATAGGGAATATAGATATGATAATCACACATTCATTAAGAAAGAAATTAATTACAGAATTGAAAAAATACAACATTATAACTTATTCCAAAAATGTCACAAATCTTGTATATATTCCATGGATATTAATATTTTAAATGGGAACTAGTTTATTATTTTTGATATAAAATATAGTTTGGCATTTTAGTTTATTAAGTTCAAGTCAAGATAACATTGGAATATATTATCTACATGGGTTAGCCAAGCATTACCCACTTATATTTAATATATCAAAGTTTTTCTAAAAACATATTCATGATTAAAATAATTTATTTTAAAGTTTTTAAAATTATTGTGATCACCTATAAATTGTGAGAATCAGATGTTTTGGGTTTTGACTAAACTATGCATTCTTACTGCTGCAAATTTATACAGCTAATCATAGGTGTCATGCATGAGAAATATTGCCACCATCAGTAATGTTATCAAGTTGAAATATAATAATAAATTTTCTTTGCTTTTGTGTTATCAACATGGCAATTATCCATATAAAATTTAATAGATGAAAATTTTATTTGACTCCTAAAATAGAATTGATTTGGTAGTTCCAGCAAATAGAAATTAGATTGATTAAAAAAGATATAAATACTTTACAATAATTTAACAAATGTAGTTTATATGGCATGACTAAAATACGCGTCCCCAGTCAAACGGGTTTAATTTATATAATATTAATAAAAAATCTTATTTAGCTTTATAAGATGAGTTAATAAATGTTTTTTATGATTTTTTAAAAAAAATGATAACAGTAAATTTTTTAAAAAGTTATTTTTTTACATCAAAAAACTACGCGGTCCCTATGCGTCAATATATATTTTTTTTAAAAAAATAAAAGCAGAATCTTATTTAGCTCATTAAATGAATATAGAAAATGTTTTTTATGATTTAAAAAAAAGTGGTAACTTAGTAAAATTTTGAAAAAACACTTCTTCATTTTTTGACTAAAATACGCGTCCCCGGTCAAGATAGATTATTTTTATAAAAATGAATATAGAATCGTGTATAGTTTTTCAAGGAGATTCCGAAAATGGTATTTATAATTTTTTTTTTATATAATTTTTCGAAAAAATTTTTTTTTGACTAAACTACGCGTCCCTGGTCAAGATACATTTTTTTAAAAAAAATAAAAGCAGATATTTAGCTCATTAAATGGATACAGAAAATGTTTTTTTTATTTAAAAAAAAGATGTAACTTAGTAAAATTTTGAACATTTTTTGACTAAAATACGCGTCCCCGGTCAAGATAGATTATTTTTATAAAAATGAATATAGAATCGTGTATAGTTTTTCAAGGAGATTCCGAAAATGATATTTATAATTATTTTTTTTTTATATTATTTTTAGAAAAAAATTTTTTTGACTAACCTACGCGTCCCTGGTCAAGATACATTTTTTTAAAAAAAATTAAAAGCAGTTCATATTTAGCTCATTAAATGGATACAGAAAATGTTTTTTTTTATTTAAAAAAAAGTGGTAACTTAGTAAAATTTTGAAAAAACACTTCTTCATTTTTTGACTAAAATACGCGTCCCCGGTCAAGATAGATTATTTTTATAAAAATGAATATAGAATCGTGTATAGTTTTTCAAGGAAATTCCTAAAATGGTATTTATAATTTTTTTTTTTATAATATTTTTCGAAAAAATTTTTTTTTGACTAAACTACGCGTCCCCGGTCAAGATACATTTTTTAAAAAAAAATAAATATTTAGCTCATTAAATGGATACAGAAAATGTTTTTTTTTTATTTAAAAAAAAAGTGGTAACTTAGTGTAATTTTGAAAAAAGACCTCTTTTTTTTCATTTTTTGACTAAAATACGCGTCCCCAGTCAAGATAGATTATTTTTATAAAAATGAATATAGAATCGAAATTATTAATATTATTTTCGGAATCTCCTTAAAAAACTATACACGATTCTATATTCATTTTTATAAAAATAATTTATCTTGACCGGGGACGGGTAGGGACGCGTATTTTAGTCAAAAAATGAAAAAAAAAGAAGTGTTTTTTCAAAATTTTACTATTTTTAAATAAAAAAAAACATTTTCTGTATCCATTTAATGAGCTAAATATGAATCTGCTTTTATTTTTTAAAATAAAATGTATCTTGACCGGGGACGCGAAGGAACGCGTAGTTTAGTCAAAAAAAAAAATTTTTCGAAAAAAAAATTATAAATACATTTTCGGAATCTCCTTGAAAAACTATATACGATTCTATATTCATTTTTATAAAAATAATCTATCTTGACCGGGGACGCGTATTTTAGTCAAAAAATGAAGAAAAAAAGTGTTTTTTCAAAATTTTACTGTTACCACTTTTTTTTAAATAAAAAAAAACATTTTCTGTATCCATTTAATGAGCTAAATATGAATCTGCTTTTATTTTTTTTTAAAAAATGTATCTTGACCGGGGACGCGTAGTTTTTTTATGTAAAAAATTAGTATTTTAAAAATTTTACTAAGTTACCACTTTTTTTTTAAATCAAAAATACATTTTCTATATCCATTTAATGAGCTAAATATGAATCTGCTTTTATTTTTTAAAAAAAAATGTATCTTGACCGGGGAAAAAAATAATTTTTTAAAAATTTTACTAAGTTATCAATATTTTTTAAATCATAAAAAACATTTTCTATATTCATTTAATGAGCTAAATATGAATCTGCTTTTATTTTTAAAAAAAAAATGTATCTTGACCGGGGACGCTTAGGGACGCGTAGTTTTTTTATGTAAAAAAATAATTTTTTAAAAAATTTACTAAGTTATCATTTTTTTAAATCATAAAAAACATTTTTTATCTCATCTTATAAAGCTAAATAAGATTTTTTATTAATATTATATAAATTAAGCCCGTTTGGCCGGGGACGCATATTTTTGTCATGCCCAGTTTCTATTATAATTATATGCATAGCAATGAATATATAATGCTAATCTTGTTAAATAGTTTGATTTGAACCGATTTTTAAAAATGGCTAACCCAATATATTAGCCATAAAAATTTTGCCCAACTCTCAAGATTTTGCTTAATTGATGTCATAACTTTTGTGTCAGGGATCCAAACCAAAACGAATATTGATACGGTTCGGATAAAAATAACGGTTCAGGTTTGGTTCATAAAAAATAAAAATATCTGTTCAGTTCGAACCTCTAAAAACTGGTTTGAACACTTTTATTCAAACCTACATTCAAATTATGTATAGGAAAGAATATGTCTTTTATTTCATAATTAATATAAAAATACACATAGATAAAACCTTCATTTTTATGCACATTATAAAATAACTAGTTGGTAACCCGTCAAAAATGACGGGGAATATTCTTTTTAATGAAACAATATCTCTTATTAGAACCCTAAATACTATCATTATTTACCAGAGCTCCTGTTAGTCAGAATTGTCAGCGATCATATTAGGAGACCAACCAGGTTCACCATGAGGGAATAGTAAAGGATAAACCATGGGGTCTAAATTTGGGCTCAATACATTAAGAATAATGAGATCGTTGTCATTAGATTTAGGATATACTTTAATATCTCTTTTGAAAGGAGGCTCTCCATCTTCATTATTGAAAATCATAGCTACGTCATCCATAGATGGTAAATTATAACGGCGTCGATCGCTAGAACGATCTCCTTTAAAGATCATATTAATGGTTGGGAGTTTTGTATTAGAAGTAGTTGCTAATTCTAATGTAGATTGATGGACTTCACCTAATGTCTTAAAACTAAGAGCATAGGGATTAATTTGTCGTATTAACTGATCTAATTGTTTCATAATATCTTTATTACATTTACTATTTGCCGGATGGTGTATACGCTTATCTATAGCCTGTGTCGTATCTAACACGTATAACTGGGCATAATTAGGCAAAGCATTAGAAGGTGGGTATAAATTAGATGTGCGGTGATATATTTGGCCGTGCACTTTGAATAAGGGCCACTACCTGTAAGCTCCGAAATTTTTGCGCCCATCGATGCAAAAGCTATTGCTGAATTATAAAAACGTATGTTCTTCATAAAATTATTATGTAACTTATCTTGAGGGTTTGATATAAGATTTTTTAAATAAGGAGGATATGGTATTTGGGTAAGGTTAACCTTCCCTTTAGACAGCACTGTGTGAATTTACCGTCGGTCGGTCTCTCAGCTATGAAATTCATGGAAAAACAAAATTGACATATGATATTCATAGGCCCGCAAGTATGTTCAGTTATTAAGTGAATATCATTAGTATTAAAATGTGTTAAATTACTTCTATTTTTAAGAATAGATGTATAGGTGGTGGGGAAAATCTGTTTAAGCTTTAGACGAAAACGGGCAGCACATGCCCGCATCCTAGCAGTTTTAGTTGATATATCAATAGGAAAAGGTTATTTAAATTAATACTTTGAGGTGTAGGTACTAAAGCTACTATAGGTTTGGGTTTCTTGGATTTTATATGACTTCGCACTTTACGACCACTTTCCTTAAAATAAAAATATTTTATCTAAATTATTGGAAAATAAAACTTCTTTTGTTATGTTTAATCTTTTTCTATTTCCCAAAATAGAAGTGTAAGTGGTAGGGAAGATTTATTTAATTTTATGATGAAAACGGCTTATGCATGCGCGAATCATAGCAGTTTTAATTGATAAATCAATTGGGAGATATAAATTTGAATTAGGATTATGAGTTGTAGTTAATGAAACTAATTTAGGATTATTATATTTGGATTTTATGTGATTCCGTAATTTGCGGATACTTTCCTTTGATTGTTTGGGAGATTGTCTATTTTCCATAGTATTCTATTTATTAACGTTACAAAGAATAAAAATTAAATATTATTTTCAAATAACTGGTAACACAAAAAAATTCCTAAATCTAGAAATGAACGTTTTCATATCTTGGTAATGTTAATTTTTTTCTATCAAATTTCCTATCATCTTAACGTTAATTTTTTCACTTCCCTATCTCCTAATGTTAAAATATTTTTTTTCTATCAACTTTCCTATCATCTTAATGTTAAATAAATCGAGAGCTATTATTATCTCGTTAATGTAAAAAATTTTTATGGCAACACTGGGATTCAAACTCACAACCTATCGTTCGGAAGAACTGAAATAAAATATATAAAAGTCATAATTCATTTAAAAATACAATCAGAATATGAAAGTCGCATAGGCCTTGGTTTTTTGATAAGGCCTGGCCATGTCTGCGAAAAAAAATTTCCCGGCCAATGTCATCTCTATTTTAAATT